AACCAAATTGAAACTATAACCAAATTATTAGGAACAAAATTGAAATTAACCTAAACTAAAAGATCGCACTCTTGTGAGAGTTATATCAAATAAAAGTTTAACTGCRTTGTTTAGACATTGATGATTGGCTTGAAACTTGTGTCATTTTAAGCATAACTCAACTAGTTAAGGAATATATTCTCGATTAAAAGGTCGGAAGTTTGAATACTCACCCCACCATATTGTTGAACTCAAAGAAAAAACAAATTTTTTGCCAACATGAGTATAAATATAATAATTAAGACATCTACTCATTTCTTTAATATTATTATAGGTTCAAATCTTTAATCCTCATAGTCCAAAAATTTAATCCTCATATTTGTTATGGTCCAAAAAAATGGTTGACTTGACACTTCATAATGTATTATCCAAAATGTATTTAATTGAACTAAAATTCTCAATAGTGTAGTTTTTGATGAATGCTTTCCAACTAACCTTAAAAAGAAAAAATATATAATAATTTGAAAATGAGGAATAGAAATAATAAATTATTAGCTTCAAAATTATCTCAAATTATTTCAATTAACCAATAATGAAATTAAAATTTGACCAATAAATCTATGCTTTATCAACTTAAAATGAAGAAGTAAATGTTATGGAAGATAAAAGGAGAATGGCCGACTCAGCAAAAAAAGGGGAGATCAAATTGGAAGATCAAATGCACAAACCAGGTAGGCCCGAACCTAGCAGCCCGAGTCGACCACAGCCGACCTGAGGTCGGCGTCGTGGTCGAGAACCCTAGCAGTTCTCTCTCGATCTCTATGCCGCCCGACCTGAACCTACCTTATCTCGACCCTCCATTCGATATTAAGCCCACAACGAATTGCATGAGCTTAAAAGTCCAGATCTCTTGAGCACACTAGGATTCGACTTATGTAAATCCTAAAAGGATTGTGATTCAACTTCCATAATTCCTAAAGGGATGAGGATTCGACTTATATAAATAAGAGGGTGAACTAAACCCTAAAGTACGCTACAAGTCCCTACTATTTGCTACACCTAAATATCCTACTCTCCATACTCGACTAATCCAATTCTGACTTAAGCTTTGGAGCCTGTGTGACAAGAGCCACATCGGTCTTTAATGCTAATACGTTTTGCAGGTCTCGTCAATCCTTTTTATTCTTGAATATTGGTGCGAATTTGGCAAGATCCACAGTGGCCAAATTTCTGCATCAACAATTGGCGACGTCTATGGGGACGATTAAAATCTAAAAGTCAAGACGATTGATGATGAATTGACTGAGAACTGCTCAAATCCGAGGAGATCTCGTGCGATGTCCAAGTAGAGGGAAGGGTACATGAATGAACCGATACCACATCCGAATGAGAGGGATCTTGAGATAATGGAAGAATCGTCAAGAAAAACTTAAAAGAATTGATAGTCACTACCTATATTAACAAGGTGCAACTTTCTTTTCGATAACTCAACTATAAGAACTCCAAAATTAAGCGTGCTTGACTTGAAGTAATCTTCGGCTGGGTGACCGATCAGATCAATCATTCAAAGTGGGGTCTTGATATCAAATCAATGGGACAGGACAATGTTTTTTTTTATTACTTGCATGTTAGACAACATAGTTTAGGTTATCATTTGTTGTGATTCAAATGGCGTTTGATTTTATGTTTCCAAGAATAGGTACTTGCTTCTGATTATCTAGTTAGTTATAACATCTGTATTTTAGTTAGTTCTTTATTATTTGAGTATTTATCTTTTATTATCAATGAAAAATCCTCAAGCTAGGGCATAAGTAAGTTAATCAATAGCTGATCAAGGAACTCGAATTAGGACAGACCGAAAAGCAGGCCGATAAACTAGAAGTCAATCAGTGAAACCGGGGAAGAGAATCCTAATGGTGTTGAAACCCAGAGTATAAAACCATTTGTCAAAAGCCAAAATAGGTTAGAAACCCACGGGTGTTGATTAAGCAAAATAAGGTTAAAAACTCAAGGTTGCTGACTAAGTTTAAAGTATAAAATCGTTGGCAAAAGCCAAATAGGTTAGAAACCTAAGGGTAAAGCCTCAGGTATAAAACTGTGAGCAAAAGACAAATAGGTTAGAAACCCAAAGCTATTACCACTGGTTCTACTAAAAAGTTAGATCTCAAGGCCGAAATCTAACTGTTAAACGAACCGTATAGAAGAGTCCAAGAGACTTGATTGTGACCAACAACAACAAAAGAGAATGGGGGTTAGGAATGCCAGCCCATTAGGACGACAACCAACAGGGACAAAAAGGTAAGAAGGCTATTCCACAAAAATAGTCATCCGCACCGAGCTCTCAATATATAAGCCTTAGCATGTTTTTTGCCTTCTATTTTAAGAGTGGGGGCTATTATTATAGGAAGATAAAAGGAGAATGGACTAACCGAGAATGGGAGATCAAATCGGAAGATCAAACGCACGAACCAGGTAAGCCCAAACCCAACAGCCCGAGTTGACCACGACCGACCCAGACGACCCGGGGTTGGCACCGAGAACCTCGGGGGTTATCTCTCGATCCCTATGCTGCTCGACCCAAACCTACCTTGTCTCGACCCTCAATTCGACATTAGGTTCACTACGAAACGCATGGACCTAGGAGTCTAGATCTCCTGAGCACACTAGGATTCGACTTATGTAAATCCTAAAAGGATTGAGATTCAACTTCCATAATTCCTCAAGAGATTAGGATTCGACTTTTATAAATAAGAGGGTAAAGAACCAAACCCTAAAGGTACCCTACAAGTCCCTACAATTTATTACATCTAAATATCATACTCTCCATACTCGATTACTCTGATTCTGACTTAAGCATTGAAGCATGTGTGACAAGAGCCACACCAGTCTTTAGTGCTAATATATTTTAGAGGTCTCGTCAATCCCTTTTATTCTTCAAGATTGGTGTGAATTTGACGAGATACATAGAGACCAAATTTCTGCGTCAACAGGGAACATATTAAAAATTACTTTAACCCAAAGTTACGTAATATAAATTAATGTATAACTAATGGCCAGTAGTGAAAATAAGTAAAACTTTATTAAACGTATAAAAATAATATCAATAAATTTAAATTAATTAGAATTATAAATTTTGAATGGATAAATACATTTCATTTGTAAATATCGGCTTTTATATACTAAGAAACATATATTTTATTTTATGAAATAATTGTCTGATTTACTTGTCAGTTCAGCATAACTTAATAGATTATATATTACCATTTCGAAGAATGGTACATTCTTCCACTGCTAGTGGTGGTTTGGGTGGAAGATTTATTGGGTGGTAATGAACATGGATAAGTAAAGTTCTTATTTTTTTTGACATGTCCGAAATTTTTTTTTTGGAACATCTTATTCTCCGACATCCTTTATTCCTATAGACAAGGATTTTCTTGCCCTCCCATGATTCATGAGTTTGTCCATGGGTGATCAAGATTGCGTCGATGGTCGAGATGCCTACGCGTGGGGCTATTGCTAACGCCCCTTGCATTCCAAACAATTTCAATTGTTGTGTCAAGTTTTTCATCTCTTTCCTTTCCCATAAATTATTCTTTTTAAAGGTAATAATTTAGTTTATTTTATTAACATTAATTAATTAAAATTAGTCAAAATATTTAAATTAAATTTATAATTAATAAAACAACATTAAAAATTTATCTGAATTAATTATTCTATGATAATAAATTAATTTATTAAAGCATATTATTAATTTTTTCTATAAAAAATTAATAGATTGATGCAGTTGATAGAAGATTGATGCAGTTGATAGAATGAAAATGATTAATTTTGTTAAAGATATTTGACAATTATTAATTATTAAGATTGATTGCTAAATAAAATCAACAAATAAATTTAGATATATTTTTTATAATATATTTACTCTGGGAGTGAAACTTAATATTTTAAATTAATAAATATGTATATATTAATTAATGTAAATTAATTTTGATTAATTCTAAAGCTTTATACGCAGATATCATTTTGTTATATATATATTTGAATTTTAGGTAGATAATCTTTATTATTAATTGTTCAATTTATCATTATGCTAATTAATATAATTTATAACTTAAAATTATTAAATGTATATAATTTGTTTTTAATTAAATTTAATTAGTTATTAATCAATATTTACAATGTCATAAAATGCATATTTCTAAAGTAATCACACAAAATAAACATATATATAATTTATTTTCAGACATCTTTATCTTAGTATCTTAATCCCGGACATATATATACAACCAAACRTAAATATTTTTGATTCCCAAACATCTAATTCCTAGGCAACTTAGGATTTATTTGCGAGTGATGGTAGAATCAGTGATTTTGAAAAAATATATTTAAGTATAATTGATTTTCCAAAATTAGATACCTTGAAAATCAATTTAAAGTGATCTTAAAGCTTTCATAAAATCAATTTCTTAATTTGCCGAACAATATGATAAATTAAAAGGGGAGTGATTTTGACAATAACAAAAATGATTTTACCCAAACACACCTTTAATCCCGGACATCTTAATCTCATGCTACCTTTTTGAAACCTTCAACCAATCGGTTCAGAAAGAATTAAACCTTTTCCGACGCAACATTTCATTACCATTGCTAAAACATCAGTGAAGTACATCACATAATTATTGAACTAAAAAAAATATTTTATTCACTTCGATAATATGTAACTCTTTTTTTATTGTAGCACGTGAGATGGGAGTTCAACCCATGACTTTTTAATCGGAGATATTGCCTTAACCAGACGTGTTAGGCTCAGATTACCAATTTTTTTTATTTACTTTTTTAAGAATAGAAGTACTTTATTAAGATTAGCCAAAATCACAACTACCTCCCGAAGAGAGTAAATCCTGCTTGGTTACATCGACCAACCAATCAGGAACTTCCAAATCCCAATCTGAAGAGATTACATTACGACAGGCAAATGAGACGACCTTGTGGGCTGCCCTGTTTGCAGATCGACGCACATGCAAAAAATGGATATGAGTGAAAATTGGATATGCAAAAATTTGATTCTTCACCTAGACGACGCTCATCTTGCCATTATCGACTTCATCCTCTGTTAGGGACTTTATCAATTGTAGAGAGTCTGATTCCAATTGAACTGCTCGGATATTCAGACGCTCAGCCATGCGAATACCTTCAAGAAAAGCAAAAGTTTCTGCCGTCAAAGGATCATGGTAAACCTCAAAACTTCGAAAATTTGCTGCTATAATTTGTCCCTTTAATTTCATCTCTGCCCACAATACCCACACCAGTTCTAGAGAGGGATTTTTTGCAGGCAGCGTCCACATTAAACTTCACCCAACCAGTTGGARGGGGCAACCAACGACTCTCATTAATTTGATCTGCATTGCTGTTGCAAGCTTGATAGTGGGAACTGCCATGGGACAATATGTTACTGTCTTTAAACTCCTTCACGTAAGATAAGATCCATTCACTTCTCAACTTAGTATCTGAAATTTGATTCTTAGCTTTAATCCCGTTTCGGTCATTCCAGATTGCCTAAATTCCAACTCCAACCTGCTCAAATTCTGCCTTGGAGAAGGACTCCATCAAGTACAACAATCTGTCTTGGACACTATTTCTGAAATCGTATGGCGAGACAGCCTGAGGTAATAAGAGATTGCCCGTTAATATTCAACTTAGATACTTAGTGTAATAATTACCATCATCAATCAAGTTGGATATTGATTAATTATAGTTATAGTAAAAAATGATTGATGCATGTTTTATTTTCTACCATATTTATAATTAGATTTTATTGCTAGCATAAAAATATTTTATCTCAATTATTTATGCTACGTAACTATTAACTTTATGAATTATTTAAATGTAATTAACTAATTATAATTAGGTTAATTTGTAGCAAAATATTAGCGTAGTAATGGAGAATGACCAAAATCTTCTATGGATTTTGAACACCCTAGAAAATAATTGCATGAATGGTAGTAGCATAGGTCAAATTCAATAGTAAAATTATTCAATTTCAACAATTTGAAAGAAACTATTTTGCGCGAAAAAAAAAAAGCATTTGAAAGAAAAATGGTCTAAATCTTTTTTTTTTCCACCTATATCTTTAGGATGATTTTATTTTAGTTTTTAAAATTTAAAATATTCTGTTAGGATCTGTAAATTCTCAAATTCTCTACTTTAATTTCTGGGCTCTAAATAAAATTTTATTTAATTTAATTTGTTTATTAATGAACTACCTGTGACACCAAAAATTTATCTCCCTATCTTATTAATTTGAAGGATAAGAATAAATTCAAAGTAACATTTATTACACCGTGATGTTATTAAATGCGAAACTAAAGAACTTTGTTGCAAAATAATTTCCTACCATTAACAAGAATAATATGTGGCAAATCTTAGTGATAAATATTGCCTAATAATTAAGTGGTTACATTTCTCAAAAAAAWAAWAATAATAATAATAATAATTAAGTGGTTAAACTACCCAATAGAAAGACACCATAAAGTCTATAAAATGTAGTCAATTCTCTCCCTACCATTCTACTTGCCCCAAATAAGAGATTATTTTTTTTAAAAATAAAAGTTATATATTTTAATAATATTTTTGAAAAATATGGTATCCCCTCGACTCTCTTCTTATTTTTTTCACTATTTTTTTCCTTTTTATCCTCTCATTTTTTTTCTCTCTTTCAATTCTAACCTCTTTCCTTTCCATCCTATTTATTTTCTCATTTACATTCATTTTTTCCCAACCACGTACCAATGCAACTAACATTAATGCATTGAAATTGTCTCATAATACTAGGAGGTCTACTTGGGAAGTTTGGATAACCAACATTCACCATTGTAATTAAAATGTTGATTCATATTGATGAGATGTAGAAATTTGTTGAGTTTTGACAAAATATTAGAAATATAATTGTCCCACATCGAAAAGATGTACTCTAAGTGCTATAAAAGGAGCTCGTTCTATTCATCCCAATTGAAATACTTTACATATACTAGCTCTAGTTAACTTAGTGACATTTACTTTGAAGGAATTTTTTGTGTAAATGAGGTCGAGTAGAAAAATTTGTGTGATTATAATAATTTTTTACCTAGTGGATTTTTCCTTTGGATTGTGGTTGTGGTTTAAGCCTGATATACTAGCTCCCGTGTTTATTTTTTTAAAACATGTAGGGATGAAGATTTGAAATCACGATTTTTTAACAGAAATAAGTGTCTTAACTGGTTGAGTTATATTCATGTTCGCAATTTGACTAAAGGATGATAATAAAACTTTTAAAGGTGGAATTTGTTTCGTTTTGCTAAAAGAAGAAAGCAAGAGAATTTTATGAGGCATATTTGTAAATCTCGTTCATCTATTCAGTGTGTGACAACTTGCATATGGTTGAACCAACTCTTTAGACAATGAGTCAAAGCGAGCATAGCTCAACGGTAATTGACATATATCTCCAACCAAGAGGCTRTGAGTTCTATCTCTCACCTCCACATGTTGTACTAAAAAATAGAAAAAAAAAACCTCTTCAGACAATGCTAAATGCTAAAGACTAATTGTTCGACTAGAAATTCAACGAAGAGAAACTCAGATTTATGAACTTGTATTTGTATTTATGTATGTGAGTGTGCTACAATCTCTAATGTATAATCCTTTGATTAATTCTCTCAAATGTAAATTTTAATTCAAGGGCTTGTGAGCTTGTTCTTGAATAACCGAGGTTGATGCATTTTGCTTCTTGCTTGTGGAAGCTAGATCTTTGAAGTCTTTGGCTTTGAGCTTGTTGAAGAATTCAACTTGTTTATGAAGTTTGGCTTGTAGTTTGATGAAGACTTTGTGAAGTCTTCGGCTTTGAGCTTCTTGAAGAATATTTGAAGTCTTCAGCTTTGCACTTGTGAAGTTTTTCGGCTTTTCATYTTGTTGAAGTTCGTCAGCTTTATAGCTCGTGAAGTTCTTCAGCTTTGCAGCTTGTTGAAGTTTTCCGACTTGTTCTTCAACTTTGCAGCTTATTGAAGTCTTTCGACTTTGCAGCTTGTGAAGTTCTTCGGCTTGTAACTTGTGAAGTTTTTCGGTTTTGCCACTTGTGAAGAATTTGCAACTTTATGGAGTCTTCGGCTTCAAGTCGTGTGAAGGTCTTCAGCTTGTAGCTTGGCGAAGAGAAAATTTAGTGTTCTTGAAGTCTCGTACGCTTCTAGTGTCGAATTTTTCAAGTCTTGTTGACTTTGGATGTTTCACTTGACTATGAATGATTGTAGACGACTTTGGAAGCTCTAAATCTCCAATTCTTCTGGATCTCTCCGCCTGTCTCAAATGAAATGTGACCTTATCTATTTATAGAGTTTTGGTGGGTCTTATATGGGTCATAGGTTTAATGAGCCATGGGCTTGGGCCCGTCTTCATGGGTTTTGATCAAACTAGTTGATTTCATCGGACTGCCATAAGAGAGACACGTGGCATAATTTGTTTCGTCGATTTTAAAGTTAATTTAGGATACGTGTAATTTTATCATTGATCTTAAGTAAATGTAATTTTAATTTTGTGACATGGCATTTAGTAATTAGCCGAAATTTCTACTTCAACACTAATATTTATAACTTGAATTGATATAGTTTCTTCGCTTGGTATCAACCTCAAGGACATGCCTTTATTCTGTGTTCAGGTTGAGGTCCCTTGATTTTTTTTTTTTTCCTTCTGATTTTTCTTGAATCATATGGCATGTGGATCTCTATAATCGGGGTTCATTTTCTAGACTGAGCAGCACTATAGCACCTATCTTTAGGCATTAATATTCCAGATGGTTGAGCATAATCTCGACAAACCTTAAAAGTGGAAATTGAAGTTCCAACTTAAATGGCAATCTCATACACATAGACAAACCCTTCTCAACTTCTTAGTTAGTCTATTCAAATTTGTCCTAGATGACTCTTACACTATATCATTTCATCTAAAATTTATCTTACGAAAAGTGTCATGACTCACATCAATATTTTGTCAACTAATATTCACAACAAACATCACTACTAGAAAAGTGGTCTTCCGTAACAGTTGTGCAGTAAAAAAAGTTTGGAGGAAAAAAAACTGTCATAAATCATGGGGTGCATTTTTTGCGGGAAAATTACAACTTTTCGGATTTTTGTTTTGTTTTATGACAGTTAAAAACTGTCACGAAAACTGAATTTTCATAAAAAAAAACTGTGACGAAATGGTGGAGGCGCGATTTTTGCGGAAAAAAAAGGGTGATCTACGAAAATTTCCATATTTTATGACATTTTATAATTGTCAGAGATAATTGGAAATCAAAGTATAGAAGAATATAATTAAAATTTTTCAAATGTTCCAGACTAATTAATCAAGAAGACACAACACTAAATAATTATTAGGACCAAACTTATAATTTTTAACCTATCTTAAATTTAAATTATGAACTAATTATATGCACAATTGAATACAATAATAATGGAATCAATTTCATAATAAAAGGGGTTTTTATTTGAAGAAAAAAAAGGATAATGGATCATTTTGTCATACAAATTCCATCATTGTGAATAGCATTATATAGAAGAATATCGTGGGAGATCTTTAGCTTTAAAACTTAGTGGGAAGGTGTGGTATCCAGAGATATAAAGTAGACAATATGGAGTTTGTTTGGGGAAGGGAATACCCTGGACACGTGGAGGACCCTTATTGGTGCTACAAGATGGCTCATGAGTCATGCCCAGCTCGGATAGTCGAGGTGGCCGCCACTAACGTCGACAAATGCTAAGTATGAGGGCCGAGGTGAACCTGGCCCAGGTCTGACCTACCGGGGAGCTYGGTAGGGGCCGATGTGAGCAACTGTCTGCGGCGTGATTATCGGGCGTAAYCGTCGGTCCCGAGATTACCGGGTGTAACCGACRGTCCCGAGATTACCGAATGTAACCGTCGCGRGATTAGCGGGACTACCACCCATAAGTAGAGGACCTCACTCCCCGATCAGGTACGATGATTTCTGGCCTCGAACTAAACTGSGAATCCGACCTATACTGACTTGATCGTCGGAGTGCTCACCCTTTTTGTGCAGGTCCGCCCAAGCGTTCAGGTCGGTCCGGAGGCCGAGTTCGAGCTGCAATCTGGAACACACTGTTGTGCACATCTTTGCATAAACAGAGTTCTAAATTTCAAGACGGCTGAATAAATGATTTGAATACTTTATTTTAAATTTTAGTATCTATTATAAAAATTTCTTGAATAATTTTTCATTAAACATTGATACATGAATGTTAAAACTAGTGGAGGGTGTACCTAGTGACGGTTAGTTTTAGAGGAGGAGAGAAAATAGAGAGAATACATAAACAATGAAGAGTTTTATTGAATACATGAAGTTAATACGAAAATCTAACACTTATGTAGTATAATAATTAGTGAGCTGACAATAATTCAAGGACCAAACAGAAAGAAAATTATAAATTACTTTAGGCTAATCTCTAAACATTTGGAGGAGA